TGTAGAGGACATTTAGGTTGTTTCCAGTTTGAATCTTTTTTTTTCAAATAATACAGCATTGTTTGCTCTTAGACATGTGTCAGGGAATATACATATAGGATAAATGTGAAACAGTGGAATAGCTGGGTCAAGTTTGATAAATATTGCCAAAATGCCTTCCCAAAAAGTTATATCTATTTAATTCTACTAACAGTGTTCCTCTGTTTAATTTTGAACTTTTTTTCTCTGTATATGTTTTATTAGTTATTCACATCAGAATAGCTGCCCTCATTTCACCGGTCCAGAGTGAACTACTCACAGAAAGTTTCTTCACTCTGCTTATTGAAGAACCAGAGGAACATAAATACGTTTTGCCTACATAAAGTTAATGGCCTGTAGTAAAGAATGTAGACTTTTAAGCAGCCTTCCATGTCATTTGGCATAGGAAACACTGAGTTAGTGTGCTAGACACCTGGCACGGGTTTGGAGGAAAAAGGTGGGCTTTTTGGGGCTGTGCCCGCCAAGTTGGGCCACAGCTCCACCGCCTACCCCTTCCTTCTTGCTCAATGTACACATCACCAAGTCTGTGCTCCACAGTTTCTCCTCTGCTAGAAAGGGACTGAAGCCTGGGGGATGGGAATGTGTCTTCCCCTCCTGGAGTCTGAACACCCTAGTTGGACTTCTAGGTGAGGCCAGAACTTCCTTTGAGTACTGGGCCACATCTTCATAAGCTTCAGAGACCTCTTCCCCCTGTTCCCCATTCTCATATCATCTTGGTGAAAGCCTTGCTCTTCTGCCCAGTGACCCCGTTCCCCCAACCACCAGAGGCAAAGGAGTGCTTGAAACTGTGGAAACTTTAAACATTGTGGATTCTCAGAAGTAAAGCCTTTAGTAGGAAAAGATTTGCCGACAAATAAAGTGTTTCTGAAAAAGTTAGGTTGTGTTGCTCTGGTTCTAGCAACATGCTCACTCCGCAGTTGTGGGATCTCTGGGTGCCATTTTGTTTTCCTGACACCTCCCTATTCCCTGGCAGACACTGTCCCCTTGGAACGCCCACAGAATTTTGATCATAGCTGAATTACATTATTTATCACATTGCTTGTTGTCAGCTTGTGTTTATCTCTACCACTGGATTGCGAGCTACTTGAAGTTCTTAAGAACAGTGGCAGCAATAATACAGTGCTTCCTGTGTGCCAGGCACTCCACCAAGTGCTTTACACGTTAACTCATTTAGACCTCACACGTCCCTCACAATATCTTGGTATCTTCATCTCTCACAACTCATTAAACATTCTATGGTGTCTTTCAATTTAGATCTCTCTTCTTCAAAAGGAGTTTTAAAGAAAAATCTACTATTACTGGTTTGTAATATATCAATCCCTAAGCAAAAATACTCATAACATTCATATAATAAGAACAGATTATATGGGAGAAGATATGATCATTTTCTCAGTTAGCCTGACATCAAGAGTATTTATTTGGCTTTCTATACCATTAGTTTAAATTAGAACACTCTATTTCCATCCACTAGAGTAGAATAGCTATGTGTTTTCCCTTTAAAAGATAAATTAACTCTGTAAGCATTAATACTTTAAAAAATGACTAGTGGTTTTTCAAATATTTTAATTCTACCAAGCTGATGAATAGATAAACATGAGCAGATAGATCTGGATTTAAATCTTGATTCCACAATTTACCAGCTCTGCGACCATGGGCAAGCTCCTTAATCTTTCAAAGCCTGTTTTCTCGTTAGTAAAATTAGGATAATAATAGTTCTTCATAGGGTAATCATCAGAAGTTAAAAATGTACATATGAGAAATTCAGCACAGCATCTGGCACAAAGCGATTAACAAATGTTTGCTGTTATTCATTCTTATCATCATTGTTATAAAATGTTGAGTTGAGCTGGGCGTGATGGTGCATGCCTGTAATACCAGCTATTCGAGAGGCTGAAGCAGGAGGATTTCTTGAGTTCAGGAGTTTGAGGCTGCAGCAAGCTGTGATCGTACCACTGCTCTCTAACCTGGGAGACAGGGTGAGATCTCTTGTCTATAAAAAGAAAATTAAAATGTTGGGTTGGCAAAAGGGACATAGAAATGAATAAAATGCTGTCCTTGTCCTCAAGAAGCTCAGCTCTGTGGTAGGAGAGGCAAGACAGGTCTGCAAACATCATCACAAAACAATGTGATAAGGCAACTGAGGGACAGAGATGGCACAGAGGAGGGAGGGATCATTTCCATAGGAAAGTTTCATGGAAGGCTTGCAAGAGGATGTGAAAATTACGTTGATTTTTGAAGAATGAACAGGAATTTTTTAGGTAGCCAAAGTGGGACAGGACATAGCTGGTCGTGGAGAACATGTGTAAAGGCACGGAGAAAGGAAACCACATGGTGTTTTGGGAGTAACTATAATTAGTAATGTTTGGTCAGATCATGAGGTTTTGGTGGGGGTGGGTAAGATGGGGGTGGTAAGATAGAAGATTCTAGAGGAAGTCAAGGCAAGGACCAGATTTTGAAGTGTTTTGCATGCGGAGCTAAAGAGCTTGGATTTAGCACCAGCAATAGGGTGTCAGTAAAGAGTTTTAGAAGAGAGATGTGATCAGATTTGCATTTTGGAAAAATCACTTTGGCAGGGGTGTGAATGATGGGCCAGCAGGGTGTGATGGTGGAGACTTGGAAGCCAATTAGCAGGCAGTAGTCCAGGTGAGAAATAATGCCCCGAGCAAGAGCAAATGGCATTAGGAATGGAGGGGAGCAAGACGAATTCAAGAGACCCTCGGGAGGTAAGATGAAAGGGATGGGGAGGAGGGAACTTGTTGAGATCTGTATCCAAAGGTGCCCGACCCCTTGGCCTCATTCCACTGTTCCACAGGGGTTGGCGACAGTGTGTGGGAGACAGGGGTGGATGGAAGTGCATTAACCAAGATACAGACTAGAGAAGGAAGCATCAGTTCTTAGGACAGGGGTCAGTTTGTAGTGTGGGAAAGAGGAGGTAGAGAAAGGGTAGTGAATTTCACCTAGCTCTTGTTGAGTATGAGATGTCTATGTTCGCCATGTGAACAGGAGAAAGCAGGCAAATATAAGGCTCTAGAGCACCGGGTAGAGGGAGGGCTGGCTATGGAGACTTGTGCATCTTCAGGGTAATTACGAAATCAGGGGCATGGCTGAAATACAGAAGGCTCGCCAAAGATCTCTACGTAGTTAATAACTAGCAAAATGTCACTTCTTTGGCCTTCACTTTTATTATGTAAAAGTAATAGGCCGAATACAATTTTACTCTCTTTATCCAACGCCTTAGGCTATTGTCGAAGCCACGGCCTGCCATTTCATACCCTTTGCGGTAGGTGGCGCTGACGCCTGGCAGGGAGAAGGCGGCAGCACATGCTGGGCTCGGGGGCGATGGGCTGGTGCGCGGACCTGGCGACGCTCTAGCCCCGAGCCGCGTATTCGCGGCGTATTCGTGGTCGGGTCCTCCCTGGGGACAGGGTGAAGGCCGAGAACCTCTGGCCTCAGGAAGCGCATGCGCAACGGGTTCTCCCAAACATGGAGTCATGTAGCCCAGGTCTTACCTGAATCAGGTAAGAGGCGGGCGGGGAAGGAGTGATCTCCCCATGCACCCTAGCAGCCCGCTTCAGGAGTGGGACTAGCGCTCCTTGGTGGGTGTGGCTTGTGTGCGTGGGCCACACCAGTCCTGGGGGGCAGGTAAGTGCGCGTGGCCCAGGAGGCGTGAGGCTGTGCTGACGAGGGGAGGGCTCCCGGGGCGCGTGGGTCCCCGCACTAGGTGCGCCGCCGCCGGCCCACAAGAGGACCACGTGGGCGAGAGCCTCGGTCGTCGTCTCCCAGCACCTCGGGGTCGTAGAGAACACAAAAGTCACACAACCCTCGCCGAGGCTTGACCCCCGCTTAGTCATTAATTAGCTGGCTCCACCCGCCCTCCTGGGCGATTTCTTGGGAGGCTGTGCCTTCCCACTTGGGGGACAACCAGCCTTGGAGGTAGGGAAGGTCGCAGGCACACGGGTGTGACCGAGTGGTAGAGGGCGCGGTCGTTCGGGGTCGGAGCTGCAGGTGCAGATCCAGGCGCTGGGGTCACCAGGGCGGAGAGCGGCAGTGGTGGCGCGGCTGGAGGCCTGGTTCGGGGAGGGGGACAGCCGGTGAGGTGAGGAGAGCAATCGAGGAAAACGGAAGCACCTGCTCCTGGTTGACTAATTCTGGCTGGAGGCATAATCTAAGGTGGGAAAGTAGTAACAGAAAAAAAAAAAAAAAAAAAAAAAGCGAGAAAGACCGACTGTGCTTGTGCTGGAGCCCTTGCCTCCCCAGGCAGCTAGGAAATTGCCTGCCTGAAAGAAAGTAGCTATTTTCCTTAGGGGACTGTGGTGAGGGACAAATGAGATAATATCTGTGAAAGGGTAAAGAGCTATAAAAATGCAAGATTCTATTACTTAATTAGAATCCTTCAGCCTGTTTATCTGTTTGAGTGGATAAAATGTCCTCTAGGTGCGGGATAGTGGGGTAGGAGTACCTGGTGAAGCAGTACCAGCTGTGGGATAATGGGATGTGTGGAGTAATGCAGAGGGTGTGTGAAGATAGTTTAGGGGTGCCCGCTGTCACCTGGAGAAACAACCATCTGTCATTTAGGGTCATCTTATTTGGGTAAGAGGTTATTCAGTTCCACTGCTTCCTTCGTCTACCACTCATCTTTTGAGCTTTTTACAGCCAAAGACTTTTACTCAAAATTGGGCCTGAAGAGGAAGACACCAGTCGCTTCAGGGATATATTGGTTAATTTGCTTTTGTTTTGTTTTGTTTTTGAGATGAAGTCTCGCTCTGTCACCCAGGCTGGAGTGCAGTGGCGGCATCTCATCTCACTGCAACTTCCACCTCCGGGGCTCAAGCCATTCTCCTGCCTCAGCCTCCCAAGTAGCTGGGACTACAGGCACACACCACCACACATGGCTAATTTTTGTATTTTTGGTAGAGATGGGGTTTCACCATGTTGGCCAGGCTGGTCTCAAACTCCTGATCTGAAGTGATCCACCTGCTTCAGCCTCTCAAAGTGCTGAGATTACAGGTGTGAGCCACTGTGCCCGGCCATGTTGGTTAATTTGGTTGAGAGCGAGGTTGATGTGATTTTATTGATGATAATGTCTTCGATTTGTTTTGCCCTCAGTATGAAGCAGCATGTCATACCAAGGGTTCTGGGCTGAGGGACATAACTAGGGAAGACTGAGTTGTGGATTTGTCCCCTCAGTAGAGGATCACCTTGGCCAAGTTCCAGTTCATCTTGGAGCCTTATTTTACATCAGATGGGAAAAGACCTTGCAAATCATTCATTCAGTCTTATATGCAGAGCTTGCATACCTGCCACAGGGTTACCCAGCCGCCAGTGGACAGGGAATTTGTCCCATCCCCGAATGGCCGAGCCACCCAGTCCCTCTAGACAGCCCCTACTGTTGGAAAATTCTTTATGTTGAATCGACATCTGTTTCTCTACAATTTGCACTCATTGGAGCCATACAGAATAAAATGTCTAATGCTGCTTCCACAAATATTTGAGGACCGCTAACACATTTCCTTCTTCTACTTACTCCACAAGGCTTCTTTTCTTCAAACTAAATATGCCCAGCTATTTCAAACAGGGAGGCAGTGTGGAGTAGTGGAAAGAAGGCCAGCTTTGGAGCCAGGCACATCTGCGTTCAATTCCCAGCCCCTTCACATCCTAACACTCAGCGTTCCGAGCTGCCGTATCTTTCTCTGAAATCTGTGAGTGAAAATACTTGTCTAGCCAGGCTACTGTGAGGATCAGGGATATGTTGGGTGAAGATCCATGCTCATGGTAGGAGCTTAAAATACAAGAGCTGTTACACCTTCAATTTGCAATTCATTTAGTTGATCTTCTCTGAACACATTCCTATTCGTCTCTGTGTTTCAATATCTATCTGCTCTGTAGAACAGAATAAAATGCTTTCTGTGAATTCTAACTAGCAGAATAGAGTAGGATTAGCTTATTTTTGGTACTTCCCCTCAGTCTACAGTCACAGTAGCCTTTTTTAGGGTCCTGTCCTACTGATTCGGTAAATTTCTCAACCAAAACCCCTTCGTGCTCCTCTGTTCAACCAAGTTTCTCCCATTATGAAGTGTTTTAGTTGATTTGAATCTACAATGATGGCTCTTGAAAGTGGCAGTCCCAGTTGTGTCTTGTTGTCTCCATAAATATCCTGCACTTGTCACATTATGGTTCTCAAACTGGGGTTAGAAAAATACGGTTATTGAATCTGTGGTACCGTCCCTGCAGATCCCATACCACTGTTGTGAATCAGCGAGATAATAAACGCAGAGCTTTCTACATGAATTTTTGCACAAATCTGAGGTCTTATTGTGAGGCGGAACTGTGTTAGACTGGAATGTGACAAGAATGTGTGATAAGCCACTGGCTGAGGGAAGACTACTGCATGAGATACCCTGCACGGCCCAGGATAGCATCAGCCTGGAGGAACTGAAAGGGTGCAACTTCGAGCAAGCCAGAGCAGGCTTTGAATTTATGTGTGGCTGTGTGTTTTCTCAGGGCTCTGAGTGTTTTATACCTTGGGTCAAATTCTTCCCCTGTGGAGGAAGCTCCTTTCTGGAAGTAAATCAGGCACATTTAGAAGATTCGTTAACTCTTTGGCTCCTGGGGGATTATGGCCAGCATTTTCTCTCTCAGACTTCCGACAGCAAATTCCTGGTTGGGCCAAGCTGATATCTTTGAGCTGACTTCTGTACTCAGGGTTCTTCCAAACAGGAATATGCTTTCTCTGCCTAAGATCTGGGTTCCATGCCCATCTCAACCTCAATCCCTCCTTCAAAGAAGTTTTTCCTAATTACTCGGCCAGACATCAGTAATGTCTGAAGGGAGGATTTCTCCCGAGTGTCAGACTTGGAATTCCTGTTGTCTTGGGGAGCTCTCCCTGGTGCTCCCCGCTTCCCCCAGGGCCTTTAAACTGTTTCTCCTCCAGGCTGTCCACTTGAGCCATGTGGGTAGATATGTTCCATGGCCTTCAGAATAAGATCCTTTGTGGGGCACTCAGTCCATAAACAGAAAATTGCCTTCATCTTGGGTGCTGGTGTTTCTGGCCTGGTGAGAATGAAAGTGTGGAATTGTTTGTAGGACTCAAAGATTCCATTAACAATAAGTATGAAAAATATATAACGCAAAGGCTTTTGTTATTGTTATTATTAAAATAGGAAAGCCTTTACCTTGTTGGAAGAACCGATTTAGATTTTGAAGAGTAATTCAGTCTTTAAAAGGTAGGGATAATTAAAATAGGTAATCTTTGACTTGTAAAGAGACTAATTTAAATTTTGTTAAGTAACCAATTAAGGCCATAAAGAGTTTAAATCCATCTGTGGCTTCTCATTTTCTCTAGAACAAATTCCTAATTCCCTACGATGAAATTCTCTTGCTAGCCTAATTTTTTGCCTGTTGGTGCCCCGGCTCAAAGGACTTCCCGTTTTCCGCAAACGCGCGGCCCTGAGCCTCCAGTGCTTTGCGAAAGCCGTCCCCTCCGGCTGGAATGTTCTTTGTCTCTCTGGTAAATGTCTATTCATCATTCAAGACCACCCTTCCCCCCTCCCCTTAATTACTTCCTCCCCTGTGCGCCCTCAAATTCTTGTACTTATTCAAGCAGGATTTATTAGGGGCCAGCACCGTGGCGGGCTCTGGGGATACAAAAGGCGAATAATACTTGGGCTCGGCCTCTGAGGGCCTTACATGTTAGGAAGGAGTGGGTCAACTGCCACAAACGTCACTAGGAAATTACAAGGAAAATTTTAAAAAGTGGCAGTTCTTGTCTGTCTGCCCCTCCAGATGGCCTGCCTCTTGCTCTCGGGCCGGGGCTATTTCTCATTTATTTCGCATCCCCGGTTCTTAGCGCGCTGTAGGTGCTAAATCAGCTTTTGTTTCATGAGTGCGTTTACTGGGGGCAACCAGACCCCTGCAGAAGTGTACCTGTGTTGTGCCACAGGTTCTGATGACAGGCTTATAGGCGGTAGTTTCCTCAGTGTCCGTGGGTCGCCCTGGGTCACGGGTTGGAGGCCCTGCGGGCCAGCGCCGAACCTTTCGGGTGCAGAGTTACAGAGTCGCGGAGGGCCTGGGCCGTGCGCGACCGAAGGGAGGCCTGCAGCGCCCCCTCTGGATGCAGCGGGCACCGGCCGGCCGGCCGGCCGCCCCGCTCACCAGCTTGCGCCCCGCGTGCGTTCGCCAGTATTTCAGTTTATGGTCAGAAAATGAACACAGACACTTCGTGATACTCTACACTTTTCAAAGGCGTAAGGGATGCCTTTTAAAGGATTATGGTTAGAAAAATTCCGCCCTCTTTCTTGTGCCACTGAGCCCTTGCACTGTGATTCTATATTACGTAAATAAAGGGGGCTTTGCTCTCCTAATTGTGCCCACTCTTCTGTGCAGCGCGGACTGGCTCATGCAGGGAGCGGGGCTGCGAGGGCGCTGCTGTGGCCGGGAGTCTGGCATGCCGACCACGTCGCGCTGCTGTAAAGGAAACCTGCCCCGCGCGGTGGCGGTGGCTGGAGTGGCAGAAACCGGACTTTGTGCAACTTTGGCCATAGTGGCCATACCATGAATCTGTTTACTAGCTTGGTGGTGGGTCCAGCAGAGCTTGTCGCTCCCTAGCCGCTTGCTCGTGCCCTTGGTGGTTACCGGGAGTTAGGGACTTAGGGCGCGTAGGGCCCTCGTGGCTTGCCACCTCTCACGGTTCAGTACGAGGGACGGGAGCAAGCGCCACGGCCGGCACCCCCGAGCCCTGCTGCCCCTTAGGTCGAGCGGCCATCCTCCTGTGGGGCTTGTGGGCGGCCTGTGGGGTTTGTGGGTGGTCTAAGGAAAGTGTTGGGGCTCTCAGGGGTCTGCTGTTTTTGCCCGTGGCCTTAACTCGTCAGGGGAGGGTTTCTGCAGCAGAATCTCGGGCTCAGGGTTGGGGGTTCACGAGGGAGTAGCGGGGTCTTGGGGAGAGGGCTCGACACCCCTGAAGGTGCTCCCTAAAGGAGCCACTGTTAGAGGGGCACCCCATCTCTGTGGCCGTGGCAGTGGCAGAGTGGCTGGGAGGGGCTCTGCGGCGAGCGGGGGAGCAGGCGGTAGGGGTTCTGCGGCGATGGGCGGGCTAGGGGCGGGGCGCGGGTGGGCTCTAAAAGTCGGTGCCCACTCGCTCCGCGCTGCCGCGGCAACCAGCACACCACGGCACCTCCTCTGCGGCAGCTGCGCCTCGCAAGCGCAGTGCCGCAGCGCACGCCAGAGTGGCTGTAGCTGCCGGGCGCGGCGCCGCCCTGCGCTGCTGTGGGCTGCGGGCTGCGCCCCTGCTGCCGGCTGGCCCTGCACAGCTGCGGGCTCCGCGGCGCCCGGTGCTCTGCAACGCTGCGGCGGGCGGCATGGGATAACGCGGCCATGGTGCGCCGAGATCGCCTCCGCAGGTGGGTGTGCGGCGGGAACGAGGGGGTGTGGCTGGCCGCCCTGGGACTAGGGCGCGGGCGAGTGGCGGACTGCTTGCCCGTGCTCGAGCCGGGGCTGCCTTCGGGCGAAAACTCTACCGACAGGCGGCACGCATTCCGCGCCCGCTCTGCCTACTTGAGGAGGGGGTGTCACTCCTGCACGCAATGGAATGTTCAGAGCGCGGGACCTCTTTGGGTTAGGATTTCTAGACCCCGGGATTGCCTTGGTGAGATTTAGGATTTCTGGACCCCAGCGTTATCTTGATATGACTTGGGATCCATAATGACCCTGGTCTCACCCTGATACGAATTGGGATTTTTAGATCCTGGCATCACCCTGGCGCGATTTAGGATTTTTATACTCATTGTTGCAGCATGATTTAGGATTTCTAAACCCTAGCATCGCCCTGATTTGATTTAGGATATTTGGACTCTGGCTTCCCTCTGGTGCGATTCAGGATTCTTAGACTCCGCCTTTGCCGTGGCGCGATTTAGGATTTATAGATCCCGGCAAAGCCCTGGTGCGATGTAGGATTTTTAGACCCCGCCATTACCGTGGCGCGATTTAGGATTTCTAGACCCCCAAAGAGCCCTGGTGCGATGTAGGATTTTTAGCCCCGCCATTGCCGTGGTGCGACCTAAAGGATAGACCCTAGCATCGTCCTGGTGCGATTTAGAGTTTTTAGAACCCCAGTATCTCTGTGGCGCACCTTAGAATTTCAAAAACAAGATAATTGCAGTGCCGAGATCGCCGCGGTGCACCTTAGGATTTCAAGACCCAGGTACCACGGTGGCGGGAGTCACCGCAGAGTGACTACTTAAGTATTTTTCAGATTTCAGTAACAAGCGCGAGTGAGAACGGCGATGTGACCAAACGGTCATGTTGCGCAGCGATTGTTCGCCTTAGTTTCGCGGGTTTATAAAGTGGTTCATTCATTTTGCGGCGACGCCATCAGGTGGGCAGCAGGTTGGGTGATATTATTACGGGAGTGTGTTTTTCTGTTTACCAGATGAAGAAATCAAGGCCCAGAAATTTCTGGAAAGTTTGTTACTGGAGTTTGCTTATTTTCTCTGCTCATGGCTCATCAAATAATTGGGATTTTGGCCAAAAAATGTTTGCTTAACCCATTTCGCCTACTGACTGCTAGGCTGCTTCACTTCTAAAAATCCTAAAAGGTCATGGGGGCATTTTTACTGAGGTAATGAGACAAGAAACGGCTCCTTGAAAGGTTGCCGCTTTGCTTTCTTGGAGTAAGAGGAGGAGGGTGTGGAGGGGGGTGTCCAGGAGTGGAGTATGTTGGTCGATCGCCTCGATTTTTAACCCCCATTTTCCCTAAGCGCCAGCGGGGAAGCCTCCCCATTTGCCGCTCTGGCCGCCCCTCCCGGGGCTCTCTGCTGAGTCACTGCAGAGATTCAGCTGCTGGAACCCCATGGAGGAGCGCGATGAGAAGCACTGGGGGAAAGGAGTAATGAAATCCGCACATGAAAATGTATGCATTGAAGTAAAGGACAGATAGCGCTGGGCAACTGATCATCAAAACTTAATGCTTTTTGTCATCTGACCTTTCAAGGAGGTATTTGGGATATAGCCTGCTATTGTTGTGGGGTGAAAACTGTGATATAACTATCATGTTCTGGCACTTTTTTTTGAACCATTTCTAGTATTACCTTGACAAATAGGACCACATGGTTCTATCCGTCTTACGGACAGGTACTTTGGAGAAAAAAGGAAATGACTGCCCTAATAATGCCTAAAAATTAGGCTGGGGAGCTGAGATTCTTTAAGAAACATGGTTATTTTACCACTGTAAAACCACAGGTTTGGTTTTAGAGTTTAGCTAGCTATCTCTATCTCTAAAACTATCGGGGATTTTGTGGGGGGGGAGTATCTTGTAAGTTGAGGAAGTTAGTGAACGTGTAGATTACAGGTAATAGGGAAGAATGTGTGTATAAACAGAAAGCCATTTCCCCCAGGGCTTTAGCAATTTATTTATTTTAGCTCTATGACAACTCTAATTTTAGTTTTGGAGGGTATTATTTCCATTCTGGCTGTTTTGAGAGAACTTCCATTCTACTGACAATTCTTGATCTGTTGACCATCAGAAGTCATAGACTTGAAACAGAACTGTTTATAATTCCTGTTTGGCACTCCTTGTCAATATGGATAAACTGACTTGTGCCTTTGAAGTCCTGGGCATGGGACAGTTGGGTGTACCAACCAGTGCTCTTTTTCCAAAGACAAAATCAATTCTCACATGCTGGGTATGAGTTATGCCTTATCTGGGGGTGGGGGAGCGTCTTAGAAAATTAAATGGAAACTTCAAGAGTCTGCTAAGAAAAGCAGAAATATAATCTACTGCCCTGACCTCTCAAGAGATTAGATATTCAGGGTCATAACAAAGCTGCTTATGTTGGAATACCCAGCGCAGCTATCTTACTTTCAGACTGTTTACCCTGAGCAGTTTCTCAGCCCAAACCCAGAAACGAGTATTAAATGGGGCTTCATTTAGGCAGGAGGGCTGATAAGTATGCATTAAAAATCAGGAGCAACTCTCTGCTTGAGGACATGTGATAAGTTACTACACACACACTCTTTTTAAGACATGATAAAGCACATATATATATTTTGAACATTTTACTCGTGGGGGCTAGTGGGTAGATGGTAGAGCTTTTGGAGTAAATAAGAAGTTATTTTTTTCCTAGGAAGCCTTGATAAAAGTCAACGAAAGAGTGTCCAGGATTTAAGTCATCTCCCTTTTATTTATATAAAGTCCTCTTCAGCAGGTATTGGGAAGACCACAAGGGTAGGGGCTAAGGGGTTAAAGTTGGGGAGCAGAGGCGGAAGATTGTATGTTGAAATAATGTATTTTTTTTCCTTAAAATTAGAATGATGAACAAATACGGCGAGTGCTATGGCAGACAGAGGTTCGATTATAGTCTTGGTCAGCTTTGTGCCTATGTGAAGGGCAACGTAATCATTGCTGGTAATAGCAGTCTCCCATGCCATCTTACCAGGTTTTGGTTTGTAGATGAGTGTACAACGTTACCTGACTGCTTACAGTGGGTCTCTGCTTTTCCTACAGGATGAGGGAGTGGTGGGTCCAGGTGGGGCTGTTGGCCGTGCCCCTGCTTGCTGCGTACCTGCACATCCCACCCCCTCAGCTCTCCCCTGCCCTTCACTCATGGAAGTCTTCAGGCAAGTTTTTCACTTACAAGGGACTGCGTATCTTCTACCAAGGTAAGAAGTGGACTATTGGAACACCTGCGTGTATCGGTCATGTAAGTCCCAGCTGAGGTATTTATTTTGTGTCTGCTGGTCTCTTGTTGCTCCTTAATGATGGAGGAGAGTATCTCTCTCTTTCTGTGTAGTGAGGTTGCAGAGAAGCGCAGAAAACTGCTGGGAGAATGGGGGTTGGGACTGAGATTCCAACCTGCAGACCTTACCTTTTAGTATAAGTTTTCTTTGTAGCTTGATATGTATTCTGATATATATTTTTTTTTAATTGGGCAACCTTAGTGTCAGGTAATATATAAAATATTAATAGACATAACCACCATTGGTTCTCTCCTCACCATCCCTGATTTCATTTTACCGTTTTCTGTAGATTATTTGTAGTGTAACTGTGATTTAAGTCTTAATACCATTATATAAATTAATTTGCTAGTGATGATTATTATGACCACTACTTATCAAGTAATTACCATATGTCAGGCACTGAATTATATTTTCAGCCTTCATTGTTTAATCTTTATAACAGCAATTGGAGATAGGTGCCATTAACCTCATTTTATAGGTGAAGAACCTGAGAAACAGATTGGAAATGATTTATTTTGAGCGGGGGTCAAGAGCAATAACGAAAAATGTTTGTCATAAACCGTTTTTCATTATTGCTCCTGACCTCCTCTCATTTGCTATATTCAATTAAGTAAGTATACAATTTTCATTATGTTGGGTTGGGTTATTTCCAGTTTTACTGTTTTAAAAAACTAATGTTGAAGGAAAAGCTTCATGTCTGTACAGTTTATTTTTTCCTAACATTTTCAAACTATACTACTTGTATAAATGGAATGATTTTATTTGCACAGATTCTCAAGAAAAAAACTCTTAGGCTAAAGTATATACAATTTTTAACTGCTTCTAAATTATTTTTGAAAACCTTATTACCGAAGTTTCATGTCACTGGCAGTATATGAATATACCAGTTTTAATCCAATACTATTAGCAAGGTTAATATTGTCTAAATGTTTACCTAATTTAGATGATGCTGAATGCTTCCGTATTGTCATATGCATTTAAAAAGTTCATGTTTATGTTGATTAAGCCCTTTTTGTAGTTGACAGGATTTTG